TTACGCATGTCAGCCCACCGACTCCCGAGACGTGCGTTGTTTGCTCACCGGGAGTGTGGATGGAAGAAGAGAGGTGACCAAGCGACGACTTGGTCGAGAGGAATGAGGGCCCTCACTTCTGTGCTGACCTCGGTTGGAGCGTCTCGGCTCCCTGGTTGGGGTCCAAAAGACGTGAACACGTTTGGCTGGATACACTTGCTGACATGGCGAGGAACCGACCTTAATGGTGTTCGTGCTGTGAGTTTCTTTGTCCCACCCCATCCCTCTTAGCCTCCCTCTCCAACTATGATTTCGTTATTTAACATTTTCTAATTTTGCGCAGTAAATTGTTGTTTTTTTCTGCTGCGTAGTAGTAGCCGGTTGGTAGCTTACCGGGACGATACCGATCCGTTACCGGTAGCTCATGTAGCTTGCGCCTGTTACATTTTATTCTCTGTTTTCTTTTATGTATTGCGGCGCAGTAGCTGAGGTGTTTCCCACCCCTGGCTAACGTGTATAGTGTGTATGTGTGTGTGTGTGTGTGTGTGCGTGTGCGTGTGTGTGTGTGTGTTTGGCGCGTGGAATAGGCACCCCTCGCATAGCCACCGGCTCGTCACTTGACGTTCTTGTTAATTCCCGCACTAAGGTGTTGCTCCTGTCTCGCTTCATTCGTCCCCGTCTTCTTGTAGTTCATTGAATATATATATATATATATATATATATATATATATATATATATATATATATATATATATATATATATATATATACGTATACATATATATTTGCAACAGCCTATGAATAGACATAGCCATCAGAAACCATGGAACACTAGAGAAGGTACAGAATTTGTAAACGAAAACACAACCCAAAGGTCATGGTTTCGTCAGATGGCGAGATACTACCCGGTTGTCCAAGCCGAAGTAGGGTGTTGACTTAGGGGACACCACCCCGAGCCTTTAGCTGAATAGCCTGCCAGCAAAGCAGCGGAGCGAATTCAGGGAATCGCGCCCATTGGAAGCCGGTGACTGATTGCTCAGTTCCTACGCCTTTCGTTTGTTTTTTTTGTCAAACAGGGGCCCAATGCTCCCCAGAACTACAGCACAAAGCTGCTGGAATACAATGCTTTGCCAGGATGAAGTAAGTGGCTGTGACTTTATTTAGTGGCGAGTCATATTCTCCCCGTCACAGTGTTGTTAAACGGACCTACGTGGCTTTTTATAGGGAGAATGCTTGCCAGGCAAAAACCACCACGTCCTGGAACACTGCCGCCGAACCATTTGCTGGAACGGGAAAATCGCGAACCACCCAGCTGGCACCACGAGGAGGTTGTTCGGCAAGCCGGTCCGCTGTGTCAGACTCTAATTGCCTTCTGATATCTACGCTTAATTTCGCTCACCGTCTCCCACTAGTATTCAACACTGTTCTCACTTAACTGAGTGAAACGTGTTATCTACCAGTGTCCTATTTGCAGGACTGCTAGTTAGAATTGCTAATGCCTTTAGGCAAAAAAGTAACACGCGGTAGAAAAGCCGTTTTCTGCGCACGTAAATCTTCTCTCTGTCTTGACTGAAAATTCATGCTTTCTGATTGGGATTGGCTAGCAAATCGATCTTTTCTCAGATTAGTCTTGTCAGAGCGCACCGTAGAGTCCCGATAGCCTCGGAGGATAAAGCAGAAACAGCGCTGACCACTCCTTTTAGCTTGTTCGAGTTTCTCTTCATCCCATTCGGACTCTGGAATGCCTCACAGTCCTTTCAACGTTTCATAGACCAAGTTTTCCATGGTCTTGGCTTTGTCTTTGCATGGACTTTGTGTTAATTGCAAGTGTTTTGACCCAAGCGCCCTTAAAATATCTTCGAAAAGTTTTCGAGCTCTCTGAACATCATGATGTCACGATAAACCTAGACAACTGCGTATTTGGCTACAGGATTGACAGCTACGGTATTACTTCTCTTACTGAGAACAGGCAAGTCATCGTGGATTGCCCGTCGCCTCAACCCGTTGTGAGTCTTCACCGTTTTCTTGGCATGGTCAACTACTAAGGACGATTTGTACATGGCTGCTCTGCTACTCTTCAAAAATTGACTGCTTTGCTCAAGAACAATCCGGAGCAGTTCACGTTTACTCCAGAAGCCGAATCAGCTTCAGGCTTTGCTTTGCACTATTAAAGTGCGAAGCCTCCCTCCAATATTGGCAACAGGATTGACAGCTACGGTATTACTTCTCTTACTGAGAACAGGCAAGCCATCGTGGATTGCCCGTCGCCTCAACTCGTTGTGAGTCTTCACCGTTTTCTTGGTATGGTCAACTACTAAGGACGATTTGTACATGGCTGCTCTGCTACTCTTCAAAAATTGACTGCTTTGCTCAAGAACAATCCGGAGCAGTTCACGTTTACTCCAGAAGCCGAATCAGCTTCAGGCTTTGCTTTGCACCATTAAAGTGCAAAGCCTCCCTCCAATATTGGCATGGACCGCCTTCTGCTCTGACTCTTGGTGGAGATCAGCTAGCAATAGTTCAGAAATTCAACCACCTTGACAATTGTATCAGCGTCTATGGAACCAAAGAGGTCACGAACCGTATAGCAAAAGTTCGAGACGCTTTTGCTAATGTTCGACATCTATGGCGCCTGTGCGACATCATTCTATGAAGGGTAGAGTTTAGAATGCAGCCGCACGTTCGACCTTACTGTACGGTTGTGAAACCTGGCACATAAAATCGGCTAGTTATGCTTGACCACCGGTGCTTTCGCAGTTTGACTCATATCTGTTAAGAACGCCGCCGGAGTTATGAGGATGTTCGGCGCCTTGTTTATGACACCGGAAGAGGAAGTGAACCGCTCAGCGCAATATTTCACGCACCAAGCTCCGATGACTAGACCACTTGTTGCGCATGTCAGCACAGCGAATCTCGCGACGTGCGTTGTTTACGTGACCGGGGTCGGGATGGAAGAAGAGGGGAGGCCAAACGACGACATGGTCAATGGGAATGAAGACTCTTAGTTCAAACTTGACCACGTTTGGAGCCTCCCGGCTCTATGGTTAGTGCTCGAAAGACAGTGCACACGTTTGGCTGGATATACTTGTTGACACGGCTAGAAGCCGACCTCAATGACATCTGTGTTTTGAGTTTCTTTGTCCCTCTCTCCTGTTTATCCTCCCCTCCAACCACAATATCATTCCTGACGCATACTATAACTTCTGCGGCACAATAGCCGGCTGCTGACTCTCCAGAACAATGTCATTCCGATAGTGCTGACCCCGCTGGCGTGCCTATGTTACGTATTTTGGTTTTCTCTTGTATTGCGACATAATAGCTGGGGGTGTTTCCTAACTTTAGCTAAGGTGTATAACGATGACGAATTCTTGAAGCTATGGTTGCAGCGTTTACAGTTGAAAGCTTTGAGAATCAGCTGGATGTTCTGGGTAGCATTAGCAAATTTACCCCTACTCCTAAAGAACTGACACTCACTTGTGCAGCTAGTTCGCTAGATGCACCTTGGTCTGGCCTTCCAGCTATTCTTTCTTCTATACGCAATACCGAAGAGGATATCGGATGCCGCCTCGTCGAACTTGTTTTGACACAGTCCTCCGGTTTCCATGTGAGATAATACTTGATCCTCGAGTTACAGGTGTGTTGAATCCTACGCCGTATGCTGAGCGCTCGAAGCAGCGCTTATGATCCATTAGACGGACATCCTGTTTGAATGGGCGTGAGCAACGAATTTATCCCGACTTACACAGTTGTCCATTCGTCTTTATCCGCATTGACCCTGTACGCGGAACGTCGACACCGCCTTATGGAGGTCCCTTCAAGGTCTTATGGCGAAAAACGAAATACCGTTCCGGAAAGGATTAAATCCAAAGAGCCGGTAAGCATTGATCGTCTTAAACCTGCCTACTTCTAGTCACTACTCGACAGTGCCGACTAAACTTCACCTATTCAGAATGTTCCTGTTCCTAAGTTGTCGCCAGCTGAGAAACACCTAATTCCCAGACGTCGGAAGCTCTATGCTTTTCATCAACGAACGGTTCTAAACACGTTCAGGTTGTACTGTTTTCACCCTACAAACTAGCGCAATATGTTTCACCATCTATGTAGCGTTCTGTACCAGTATATATATATATATATATATATATATATGTATATATATATAGATATATATATATATACACATATATACATATATATATAATACACAATCTGTGGTACAGATATTGTGCCATCGGAATCATGGTTGAAAAGGAAAAAAGTATGAATGATAAGAAAAGAGCAACAAGTACTGATTTTTTGTTTATTTTACCACTCACAGTTTTTGACATTTTTTCAGTTTGTTCTTTTTTAGGGGGAGGAAGAAGGGACACCGCAACAAACCGATGCACACGTCCGCCATTGACGTCGATCTTGAGCCATGGCTTCCAAGGTCTTCAACTAGCAAGTATCCGCATCTCCCGGACCCCAACCAGGTAGTCGACAACAACCGGCCGAGGCCAACTGTTTCGTCAGCTTTTTCATGCGGCTTCTCCATGCTGTAGGCTGTTCACCAGACCACCACCAGTGTACAACCGGTGGTGGTTGCGTGGCAACGTAGCTGCGGTACAATACACCGGCGTACTGCTGGTGATCGACTTTTACTTTACTTGTCACTTGCCTAATTTAACGCATTTTTAATGCGCACCTGTGAACACGCTCGTGTTGTTTTTTTCGTTCAGTGCTTTGCGTATGTGCACTGCTGCTTCGTCTTCCCCAGTGTTCGGATACACAGTTTCTAAGCATCCTTCGGCTTCTGACAGACGGTTACTGAGGAAGAGCTTATACTCACACGTGCCTAGCTGTTGTTCAACTGTGCGTTTTGACCTAACGTTGTATTTTACCTCAGGACCCAAACATTTCGCCTAGCGGTCAACTCTATCGCCACTAGATTTTAGCCAGGCACACCTTAAATCCAATGTGGCCTCTTAATAGGTGGTTGTGATAACTTCATCTAACCGCCTACGTGGTTTTTGTCTTGTATTGTAGCTCCCCCAGCTCTGTTGCGGCCTACGTGCGGTTAACCACGCAATCCTTTGGAATCCTCTACCGTGCGCAAACTACACATATGTCCCGTTATTCGCGACTGCCTCCTTCCATTGATATTCCCGAGGAGGAGCTTGCCATTTTGGATTTTTGGGAAAAGAATGAGATTTTTCAGACCACCATAAAACAATCGAAATTTCGCCCTAGGTATCTGTGAAGTTATCGGATTCATCTGATCTAGGTACACATTCTACGATGGACCCCCGTTCGCCACTGGTCTACCTCATTACGGTCATTTGCTCGCCGGGACGATCAAGGATATTATCCCTCGGTATGCCCACCAATCTGGGTACCACGTCGAACGTCGCTTTGGGTGGGATTGTCATGGACTCCCTGTGGTATGTCAAACTAGATTTCTATTTTTCAGGAATATGAAGTTGATAAAGAACTTGGCATCCAAGGGCCTGACGATGTTTTAAAAATGGGGATTAAATCTTACAACGATAGATGTCGTTCTATTGTAATGAAGTACAGCGCCCAATGGGAGGTAGTTTCATTGATCAACCTCACTCTTGCTTTCCGCAGGTAATTACGAAGCGGCTTGGTCGTTGGATCGACTTCAAGAATGACTATCGTACGATGTACCCATCTTTCATGGAATCCGTTTGGTGGGCTTTTAAAGAGCTTTACAACAAAGGTCTCGTTTATCGCGGCGTCAAAGTGATGCCTTTTTCCACCGCATGTGCTACACCTTTGTCAAATTTCGAAGCAGGCCAGAATTACCGCGACGTTCAAGACCCCTCTAGTAAAGCCCATTACTTACCTCATCTCCATCAGTAATTGTCAGTTTTCCTCTAGACAACGATCCAAATGTTGAATTCATCGCCTGGACAACAACGCCATGGACGCTAATCAGTAATCTTGCATTGTGCGTTCACCCTAACAAGGAGTATGCCAAGATTTTCGGTGAGTTCGAGCTGCGACGAATTGCCTGACGTTATTTTATCTTTTGTTTGCGTGCTACGTCTCCGTAAACTCTGCACTAGGATGGACACAATGTAGGCCGTCAATCAAACAGGGTCTGCTTATGATATCTAGGAGCTAACAACTTTGTCAATAACTACTAACCATAAGCTCAGCGTTGGGAATCAAATTTAAACAGCTTGATATGCATTGATCAGCTACGGTGACGCAGATGTGCTGGCTAACTAAGATCATATCTTGGTCGGTAACCACAGTCTAAGGCTAGCGCGATTCGAACTAAACTATTCACACAACGCATACATGTTGGTTACAGACAGACGCCTTAAGTTCCCCAGGCATATGGTTAAACAAGTTATCCTCGTAAGGATTTTACCGGGACAACTCATGTGAACCTGCTAATCATTGGCTGCTACAAGGTCATCCATTGTCAACCTTTGTTCACTGATCTCGATGGCTATTGCATGTACTCATTTATCACACCTTGTCAGTGGGACTTCCGTTACCGACTGCGAAGTGATGAAGATGGATTTTGTTCATTTTTCCATGCATATTCACATGTTTCTGTGTACACGCTGTGTAATGGGAATCATTTTTTCTCTAAGTCGAACAAAACTCATTTCTAGCACACTAAATTATTCGACAACACGCAGCAACAACACTGCTGACCTTAAATATACATTCGAATCGACGACATCTACAGCTGCGCCATTGGTGCCAGTCGCGCGACACCTGTATGAACTCGAATTACGCACAATTCAGGTCGCGTGGAATACACCCCAGGGTATTTGAGAATATTCATAACTCGGGAGGTGGATGTGGATTTTGCACTGCTCACTGAGCTGAATGATTATTTTGCTGAGATTTCGCTACTAGACTGGGCATCACTGACGACGTTGCCTAATCTGGCAGCGAAACCTTTGCAAAGTAATCATTCAGCTCAGAGAGCAGTGCAAAACCCACCTACAACGCGGAGAATAGACTGCCCTACTACACCCACGCTGTCGCACAAATTGGTCATCTAACTGATGCGTTCGGTTCTGTTGACTTCTTCTGCATGACGGCTCATTGAGAATTACTTACAAGATTGGTCGATGGTCATAGATCAAATAAATTCCATTTCCTAGTTCTACATTCTTGATTATATATATATATATATATATATATATATATATATATATATATATATTAGAAATCCGTGAGAATATTTGTAGCTCGGGATGCGGATGAGGGTATACGGGTGTTCTCCGAGCTGGTTGATTTGGTTGCAGACGTTTCATCGTCAGGCTAGACGACATCATCAGTGCGGTTTATGTGAGCCACTTGCAGATCCAAGTGATTATTGATCACTTGATTTGAACGTCATGAGTCTATTGGTCCACGTGAGCTGACCGTGTAGTCAACTCTTGCGTGCTATTAGCTAAAGTCCGCCTCAATGATGTTCCTTTGTCTCTTTGATCTGGGGCGGAGTATTGTTTTAACCCTCAGTGCTTCATAGGCAGTATCAAGGTCTAAGTGTCGGTTGATTGAGTTCTTTCCCGAGTACCATGCCTCGATGAACTCGCGTGCTTTTCGAGTTTTTGCCCTGCCTATGATCCTGACATTCTCCAAATCAAACTGATGATTCTCGGCATCCATATGTACCGACATCAGGGAGTTCTGATCATGTCGGCGGATGGCTAGGCTATGCTCATGTAGCCTAGTGCTGAGCTTTCTTCCTGTCTGGGCCACATAGTATATGTTGCAATTTTTGCAGTGGATTTGGTAAATCACACCACTTGTTTCTTCTTTGCCAAGCCGGTCTTTACCATTGAAGAGCTTGTCTCGGATGGTTTCCGTCGGCTTGTCAGCAACTCTGATTCCGAAAGGTAGTAGCAGTCTAGCCGCTATCTCAGAGACACCATGGTAGAATGATTGTCCTTTTAGCCGTTTCGGATGTTTGTTCATGCCTCGGTCGCTTTATTGATGTTAAACAACGCAAAATGAAATTCTTAGGATACCCATTCCGCGTAAACATTTCGAATAGATTATCTTCCTCCGCTTTCCTCAGCTGCGGGGTGCTGCAGTGTGTCTGCGCTCTTTTAAATAGAGTTGTTACGCAGCTGCGCTTGTAGACTGTTGGATGATTGCTGCGATAATTTAGGATTTGGTCTGTATGCGTCGCTTTCCGATAAACTGTTGTCTCCAGTTGTCCAGCAGCATGTCTTTTTACTAACATATTCAGGAATGGTAGCTGATCATTGTTCTCCTCTTCTTTAGTGAAATGGATACCAGTAAACGTGTTGTTAATTAACTGATGTGTTTCTTCCAGTTTCCAGTGCTTTAGGATGACAAAAGTATCGTCCACGTAGCGTAGCCAGAGTTTAGGTTTTGCGACCGGGAGTGCGGTTTCCTCCAATGCTTGCATCACCGCTTCGGGCACTAGTCCAGATATCGGTGAACCCATTGGCGTGCCTGTTATTTGTTCGGAGGTTTGGCCGTTGAAACTGAAGTGTGTCGTGAGTGGTGTGATTTACCAAATCCACTGCAAAAATTGCAACATATACTATGTGGCCCAGACAGGAAGAAAGCTCGGCACTAGGCTACATGAGCATAGCCTAGCCATCCGCCGACATGATCAGAACTCCCTGATGTCGGTACATATGGATGCATACGATTACATTGGCAGGCAACCGCATGTGAGGTGCTGTCCTGGATTGGAGGAAGTATTGAGTTTGGTGAAGCCGGGGGCGGGAAGAGTATGTGCAGAGGAAGAAGAAAGAAGAGAGGCGCCTGCAGGAACATGTTTTCCCTTATCCATCCTGCTGTATGCAGTAGATAAAGCGACCCTTTTTCTTAAGGCCACTGCGCGACAACCGATGCAGCATGGATTTATTATTACTGGTGTACTTCATGGTTGGGGAGTTGAACTAGACTACTGCCAGGGCGCCCACACCAGACAGGAAAACGACTCGGTTCCTCAGCCAAATCCTTCGATAAAGTATACACCCGAAAGACAGCGGGCTGAGCGCCATAAGACAGTGAAGCGATACACGCCTCATGGTGTTCTGGATCTTAGTTAGAAGAAGAGTGTAACCCAACTCCCACCCAGCGGTCGCCACGAGGCGTCCAAGACATGAGCCCACAGCGCAGCATTAGCAGTAGCGGGTCGACGATCGGTCAGTATCTCGCCACCACAAACTTCAGCGCACCATAGGCTCTCCTGCTGTGCCGAGGAGCTACCGACTATTTCTGATGGGTGATTTCAACGCGCGCGTTGGGCGTGATGCATCATTGTGGATAGATGCTATCGGTTCGCATGACATTGGTTCGGCGAATGCGAACGGTGACGGGCTGCTCTCACTGTTTGCCACTCACGGCCTGCCGATCACGAACACTCGGTTTGCACTGAGTGCGAGTGATATAGCAACTTGGACGCACCCACGGATTGGTCACGTTCACCTGGTCGATTATGTCATCGTACGTCAGCGTGATATACGTGAAGTGCGCATGACACGTGTACTGCGAGAAGCTGAGTGTGGCACTGAGCACAAGTTGGTGTGGACCAAACTTTACGTATATTTTCGTTAATCTATGTATTGCATTTCCGCCGTGAACCGGTGTAAATTTAACATTCTCTCCCTCGGTATTATGGAGAAGCGTATTGAGCTGGAGAAGGCGATGGCTGTACGCCTGTGTGATGTGGAATGTAGGGCTAACTTGGGCGATCTGTGGCATCACTTTCGCGACCAGGTAACGGCTGCTGCCGAGGAGACCATCGGGCGCGCAAACTGTAAGCTGCCCGATTGGTTTGATGAGAACAATGCGATGATTCGCGCATTGGTGTCAGAGAAGAATGCTACACATGTGGCAGATCCCAGTGACTTGAGGAAGAAGAGTTAGTTTCTCAAACCTCGACGCATTAAAAATGCATGGTGGACTGAGAAGGCGAAGCAGATAGAATGCTACGCCAATCGTCGCCAACACAAGGAATTATTTGACTCCTTGTAGGTGGTGTATGGACCGAGATTGGAGCCGCTGAGGACGCTAATCTAGGGTAGTTCGGGCGCTACCTACACACAAACTGCAGACATAATGCAGATTTGGCGAAATTACTTTGATCACCTCTTGAACAACACTTCGGTGATTGACTGGCCTATGTTGAACGACCTGATGCAGCACGAGGTGAAGGCAAGTCTGGCAGACACGCCGACAGTGAATGAGCTGCAGAGAGCACTTGTTCCGCTGCGCAACGGCGAATGTGCCGGTGTCAGTGGGATCCCGCCTGAAGTATTGAAAACGACGGACCTGCGTTGTGACTGCGCTGCATCATTTTTAATGCGTGTGGATTAAGGAAAAGGTGCCTTCTAAGCTGAAGGTTGCCCTCATGCTACCACTGTACAAAGGCAAAGGGAGAAAGCAATGTCGCACGAATTATCGTGGCATCAACTTGCTGAGTTGTGTGGTCAAGGTGATTTGCTCGAATGCTGCTCAACCGCCTTGTCAGTCAGGTTGTGGAACCGAACATGGCGGAAGACCAATGTGGTGTCCGTTTGGATCGTAGCACCATGGGTGTGGTGTTTGCGACTCGTCAGTTGCAGAAGTGCAGAGAACTGCACCAGCCGTTGTTCTCACTTTTTGTTGATTTCACCAAGGCATTTGATACGGTGAACCGCGACGCATTGTGGCTAGTGTTCTGTAAGTTTGGTTGTCCTAGTAAGTTTGTATGTTTAATCGAATGTCTGCACAGTGGTACGCTGGCGAGGGTGCAGCTGAGTGGAGAGACCTCGGGTGACTCTGTAGTTGTCACTGGTGTGAAGCAAGGCTGTGTCTTAGCTCCTGCCGTGTTTAATATTTATCTTCATGCCATAATGTTTTGTGTTTTCGATGCGGCTTGTGTTTACGGTGTTCGTGTGGAGCACCGCATTGTTAGTGGGTTGCTAAATATCTATCGTTTTGTTGCGAGAACTCTAGTTTGTGAGACAACTATCCGTATGTTGCTATTC